CTGCGGGGCGCCATATTTGAATTGGGCAATGCCTGCGCATGCGCAGATACTCCAGGTACCTTCCCGGCTTTCCCGATACCCGCCCGGTTCTGTTCGCGGTCCCGCTCCCGGTTCTGTTCCCAAGCCCACTCCCAGTGCTCCCCGCACCGCTCAGTCCCCAGCACCCCACTGCCCCAGTACCGCCCCAGTGCTCCCAGCACACCTCCAGTGCTCCCGCACTCCCTGTCACCTTCACACCCCAAATATCCAAATATTCCCGGTATAAACCACCGGATCCCTGCAAGTGTCCGGGAATCCATGGATCCAAATGTCCCCAGGACACTCTGAGTGCCCCCACGGCCTTCAGGGCCACTGTATCCCAATGTCCCACTATCCCAGTGCTCCCAGCATCCCTCCAATGCTCCCCGCCACCCCAGAGGCCAGGCGTGGATGAAACTGCCTTTATTGAGAAAAATGGTTTGCTACAAATACGTCATCGAGTTAATTCCTCTTCAAAAAACAGGACGGCTCGTTAAAAGTTCTAATTATGCAAAAAAGTGGTGGGTGATGCACTGGTGGGCACAGCCAGTGGGGTATCCATGGACCCCTGGCACAGAGGGGAGCCCTGGCACAGCCTGGTGTGGCCCCTCACACCCAGGGCCTTAAAGTGCTTTACAAAAGCAGCTCTTGCTGCCCCTGCTCTGTCTCTGTGGGGCAAAAAGAAGGAAAAGGAGCAGAGGGGGAAGGAGCCCGAGGTTATCGGTGCTCCAGCAGCTGAGGGTCCCAGCTGAGCACAGCACAGGGAACTGCTCCTGGGTCCCTCCTGGAAGATTCCAGTGCTCTCCATCCCACAGGAACATCCCCCAGCACTGCTCAGAGAAGGTCCCATCCCCTTCCCTGCCCTGCCAGGGGAGCTCAGGGCTCCCTGCAGGGCTGCAGGTCCCAAAATCATCCAGTATTATGAAAACCAGAACAAACCCCAAGGCAGTATTGCTAGAGCAGAGCTGGAGCCAGGTTTTGGATAAAGCTCAGGAATTCCTCGAGCAGAGGGGGCCTCTCCCAGCCCTTCCCTGCAGGAAGGCTCTCAGGAATCACCCCGTGGCTGGTGCCATCTCCCTGCCAGCCCCAGCAGCAGCAGCAGGGCTGAGAGGCAGGGGCAGGGGGAAGGGGGCTCCAGGATGCTGTGGAGCACCTTGGATCAACAGAGCCCCATTCCCAGGGAGGGATTCCCACAGGGAAATGCAGTCCCTGATTTCTGGGGGGATCAGCAGCTCGGGGCTGGGATCCTGCATGGACAGCCATGCCATGGGCATCCAACCCCAGCATCCTGCCTGCTCCCTCACAGGCAGAGGATTCTGCTGAGGGAAGGGAAAGGCCCAGAAATATCCAGGGATTTCCCAGAAATATGCAGGGATGTGCCAGAAAGATCCCTGCACCTCCCCCTACCTCAGAGTCCGACCTGCTCCAGGATCCAGCTCCTGCCCCATTCCCAATCCACGTGCTCATTTGCTTGGGTTATCTGTGTAAAAAATAAACTTTCTTGATAATGTTCCATAAAAATACTCTTGTCCTGGGTGGCAGATATTGCAGAGTGAAGGGGAGCAGCTTCTGAGCCCGCTCTAGAAAACGTGGAAAAGGCTTCACTGCTTTGTGTAGAAAAAGGCAAGGATTTGGTGTCCCAAGAGCCGGTACAAAACGAGGAAGGGGAGGATTCCCTGGGTGCTGGATGCCTCCTCCAGGCTTCCTCTGAACCACTCTTCAGTCCCATCCTGGGATTCAGCTGAAGGAGGCAGCTGCAGCCCCCAGCACGGGGGTCAGGACAGCCTGACATCTCTAGAAAAATCCTTGGAGAGTTTAAAAAAAGAAGCTCCGTGCTGCCTTCCTCCTTTTTGAAAGGATGTGGCTGATTGCAGTCCCAAAGGAGGGTGTTTGGCATCCAAACCATCAGTTCCAGTACCTGTTCTGCTGCACCAGAGAGCAGGGACGAGTGTGCCAAAAAGCATCTAGCAATAAATAGATCTGGACACAGGGCTAAGCTCCCAGCAGGGATATTAAACACAATCCAAGGAGTGATCCCAGCCCTGCTCCACAGCTCTGCTCACTCACTGGGACAGCTGGAGAGGCTCCACCTTCTTCAACAAGGTGGGAATTGCAGTGGGAACAGAGAGGGTTCCTGGAGTGCCCAGAAGGAGCCAGGGCAGGGAGAGGCATCAGCCTCAGTTCTCAGAGAGGGACAGAGCCAGGGCTGCCTGCAACGCTGCCTCCTCGTCGATGTTGTAATCCTGAAAAGCAAACAGGGCAGCTCAGAGAGCTGGCACAGCCAGGGCACGCTGTGCCCACACAGCCCTGCCTGCTCCTGTGCCATGGAGCCTGAATTCCCCTGGTACACGGATCCCAGGAGTGCCACCCGTGCTCTCTGTGCCCACACCCCTCTCCTGCCCAGGATCCCACGCCTGCCAGGAGGGATGGAACCTGCCCACACAAGCTGAGGCCTAAGGGTGAAGCTTTCTAGCAAGGTCAGGGGTTTTTGCAGAGCTCTGGGTTGGGATATTCCTCTGAAAATGCCTGGAGGTTCTTTTCCCTGATATCTCTCCAATGAAAGCAGGATGGGAACAGAGCCTCCCCTGAGGCCAAGGCTG